GAGCGAGAGAGAGAGAGAGCGCGAGAGAGCACATACCAGCTTCATCACTGTGTCTGTCACGCGACTCTGTTGCCCTTTCGGGCTTTAACTGATGGTAAAACTAACGACATTTTTAACTGTCTTTACATTTATTTTGAAAGATGAAGCTCGCGATTATGGTAAGGGGCGTTACATTTCCGACGAGTGCTTGGGTCAGCTGGCCAATCAGAGCAGACTGTGCTTGTCAAAGGAGGGGGCTTTGTTGAAAACGACGCGTTTGAGAGAGGCGGGGCATAGAGGACCTACAATAATGTACAGTATTAGAAAAATAATGTGTTTTTTGAACATTAAAGCATGTCAACATATTCTGTTACACCAAATACACAAAATAATGATCTTTAAAATAGCATCATATGACCCCTTTAAAGACTTCATTCAAGTATCTATTGCTAGTCTCCAGGAACTCACGAGATGGCCTCTTCTCGGTTCTCACCCCAGGAGAAACAATGTCCAAACTGAGAGTCTGCAAACTCGTGTAGGCCTCCGGTTGCTCCTACACTGAAGTAACCCCACACGTTTTTACTGCTGCGGAAGTTCAGCTCCTGAACTGTGCCAGAGCTTGGTTTAAAGCCCTTGCGAGGACAAAAATGTCAAATGAATCAGGCAATAAACTGCTAGAGTAGCCTTCAAAGACTACTGCATTAATACTAAGCTTTTAAAAATAGATAACAGATACTGTAATTAACCAGGAGTAACTAAAATGATACTAGCGACTTAATTTAGACAAGCAATCTATTTGCATTATTAGACAATTTTGGAAGATACTTGCATACAAATAAGACTGAGCATACAAAAAAACGAACGGTTTTGCAAGAAAGTCTCTTAAGCTTACCATGGATGCATTTATTTGGTCAAAAATAGAGTGAACAGTAATACTGAGAAATATTACAATTCAAAATAACTTTCCATTCTGAATGCAATTTATTCCTGTGATGGCTAAACTGATTTTTCCAGCAGCAGAAATTTAATATGCTGATTTTGCTTCTTAGAAAATATTTCTGTAACACTTTACTTATGTATAATGAATTAAAAAGGGTTAGTAGGGTATTATAAATTATTCATAATGTGTGTTGTAATACATTATATCTTGTCGTAAATAATTATAACTGAATTTAAAATGCATAGTGTAACAATGAATTTATAAGTATTATAATGTATTTACTGTGGTTACAATTATTCATGACATTGCACAATGCATTTTAAGGTGCATTACAAGGCATAAATAATGCATTACAACTACTTTTATAATGCATTATACATAAAGGCTTTACGTAAAGTGTTACCAATATTTCTTATTATTATCAATGTCGAAACCTGCTCACTTCATCTGGGTTCTCACTGGTGATGCGTGCAGCTATGACATGTCCCCGTGGACAGGGGATGCATTCTGGAGATTCAAAGTTAATAGGTGCGTCTCCCCATGGAGCTTCACCAAACAGGACACGGATATCCTTAATTCTGTAAAGAGGGATTCCCATCGCTATCTACAGAGAGAAGGTACCAGGAGTTTGCGATCAGCATTTGAGAATTAACAACAATAAAAAAGTATGAAATGAAATTAGGGAAATAAGAGTCGGTCCTGTTACTTTGCAGTGAGAATCTCAAAACTTCACTATGCTACTTACCTGTAGCTGTGCAGCAGGAAGGTTAACGTCAGCAATCATCTCAGTGCAGGGGTGTTCCACCTGTAGCCGTGGATTCAGCTCCAGGAAGTAGAAACTTCCATCCTCAGTGAACAGATACTCCACTGTACCAGCACTTACATAGCCCACCATTTTAGCCAGACGCACTGCATACTGACACACAGAGCAGAAAATAAATTGTGCAAGCCAATATCAACACCATTGTGGAACAGTTCCCAAAACCAAAGGCTAAAAAAAAATTTAAATGCACAAAAATATCATGAACTTTCATTAAAAACTCTTCAAAACGAACCTGATCTAAATAAAGCACCTTGGTGTGCATCGCTCCGTGTTGTGCATGTCAAATAAAATTAATCATAATAAATAAATGTCATTTTTTTGTATCAGAATGTATATCTGAATGTTATCTGCAAGTATACGTCTGTGCACAAATTTGAAGGCTGTCCTTGGATCATTGATGAAATTATGCAACTGCGCATTACTTTACAGAGAACCTACAACCTAGTAGCTACATTCTGCCTTAAGAACAAATGGTGCAACCAAATAAAATACAGAGTTAGTTGCAAACTAGCTGTGTGAACTTTACAACCCAATTTAAGAGTTTATGAACGGCCAAAGGCAACATGGCCAGAAAATATTCATAGATTTGTGCCTCACCTTCTCCATTTGCTCAAAAGTGGTGGTGGAGACAATGGTAGCAGGAGCTTCTTCTATGATCTTTTGGTGGCGGCGCTGGATGGAACAGTCTCTGCCGAACAGAGAGATAGCGTTACCGTACTGGTCAGCCAGGATCTGCACCTCCAGGTGGCGCGCATGCTCGGCTAGCTGCATGATGAAAATAGGGGAACCTGGCACCTCAGCCTGCACCTGTATTGAAGAACAAACACACCGTGATGCTGTGTAATGAAACCGAACCTAGAACTACACAAAATAATGACGTTACATCAAAGCACCATGTACCTGTCTGAAAAAGTTGGGAAAGTCTTCGGAACTGTCCACTTTTCTGATGCCTTTCCCTCCACCTCCCTCTGATGCTTTGATTACCACAGGGTAGCCAATCTTTTCTGCACTCTAACCACAAGAAAACACAAAATTAGCAGCAAACGAAACCAAAACTGTAAAGGCCCGTTCACACCAAGAACGATAACTATAAAGGACCAGCGTCGAATTGAACGCATGCATTTAACTGCAGCAATGCCATTATTAGCAATCAGCACCTAAGATGAGAGATATATATTAAACTCTTTTTTTTACAGCTGAAAATGAAGTAAAACAACATACACATAAAGGCATGACTCAAACCTTGTCTATAATGCGGTTTCCTCCAAAGCGAGTGACAAACTCAGCTGGGGAGGCAACAGTGAAATCTCTGTGCACGTCCATCTTCCTGTGTTCTTTGCCCTTTTTCAGCAGGTGGGGGCCTGACATGCTAGGCCTACAGGCAAAAAACATAATTTTAATTATTTAAACATGCACAATACATTTCAAAAAGGAAGCTGGGTAGGGCTTCGATAACAAATAATGTAAAGTCTACATGAATGGGAATGTAACGTGGAAATTGCTGTAACAGAAAAGTTTTACGTAAGCCTTCATGAGAAACATCAACAAAGCAGCATTTCAGCCAATATAAGCACATTAAATGTTACAAAAACAAACATACGAGGTAAGAATCCATCAAATCAGCATGACTTCTTGAAGTCAACTTGATCTGTCCGTGTGAAAAATGTTTCCTCTACTGATCTGGCCTCTGTACTCTCCACCTCTGTCAAAGTGTGCTATAATATAAATGCTCACACAAGCAAATCAGCCAATCACAGCTTAATGTGTTATCATTTATGCTAGAGACAGTACTGACTAACGCTTAACTTGCCCCTGAACTGTAGAACGAGTTTACACTAAGTTGCAGACTCATGTCTTTATGCAAATGTGAATGTAATGCAATTAATGTACAGTAAAATGGGGAATGGAGAAGACAAACCAGGGACATGCAGCTTACAACACTGTCAACTATTTGCCAAGGTGACAGCTTAAACTTGTGGATCACCTGCAGGATCACACTTCATTTTCTGCAGTCATCAGTGGAAACAATACTCTGAGATGCTGACTACTATCTTTTAAATGTGTCACTTGAAAAAACATCACCCATTACTCAAGGCAAAGCATGTTACTTTTGTAACACTGACTCGCACCATTCTGTTCTATTAACACAATATCAATATTAATATTAACATAATGTCTATTGGACAATATCATGATGACTAATAAATATTAACATTATTATTTTGTCTAAATAAATAAAAACTAAAAAACTAAAATCATTTCAATTATTTTAAATCGTTTGAAATTTAGGCATCAAAACATAAGTATATAATAAAAATGGATATTCATTTGCTGAAAAGATAACATTTAACAGTGTTATTAAATTACTGCTGTTTTTAAGTTTAATTTTAAGAGTGTTAAATGATGGCAAAAGTAATCTAAATAATATAGGTGCAAGCAGCGATACGGGGCTGTAGTGCAGTGCAGAGCAGGAGGATCAAAAACAGCAGAAATTGAATGAACATGAAAATAAGCTGGTTCAGAAGTATAGCTGAGAACGAACTCAGAATGAACAGAAGTTCAAATAAAAATGAGCACAGCATGGATAAAAACATTTATTTCTAATCCAGGAGCAATAACGATTTGCACATTGCGGATCTGGATAATAATAAAAGTAATCAAAACAGCACAACATAACACAATTTTATAAAGCTGCACCACGCGAGACTCGAACCCACAACATGAAAGGTTCAGGTTCAGGTTCTTAGCAGAGTGCCCCACTCAGCTGACACACATTCAACAGCCTGCAGAGGAGAAGTTTAGGTGTGAGAATGAGCTCACAAAAGCATGACTTAGCATGTTAGACAGATTAGCATGCTAAGCTAACTTAATACTAACGTAGTTTACGGTTAACCTGATCTCTGAAGAGCCACATTAGAAAGAATGGCAACTGGTTAGCATGCTAACCAATTAGCATGCTAAGCTAACTAGCATAAGTCAACAAACACAGGCACGGTCTACTTTGGAGAGGTATTTCTCGGGAACGGTAGTGAATATCAAGTTATCAGTCATTTCTGTGCGGCTTGGTCCAAAGATCATATGATCAGATTTTGGACAAAATTGGGCAAAATTTGTAGAAGTAGCAGCGAAAAAACTGTTTTTCATTTACTTCAATATGGCTGACAGGTACATTCATGGAAAATGACAAATGAGACATCGTCAGAATAGGCATAAACCAGGGAATGAAATTATATTAAAACTACATCATTTGGATAATGTTCTCAAAAGTTATGTGTTTTTGAAAAAATCGTTATAGCTCTGGAACACTAGGTGGCGCTGTTTTCAAACTTCTCAGGTACCTCCGGGACATGCCATTGATGATCCCTATTCATTTTTGTACAGATATGTCAAATGGTTTAAAAGATATAGCAATTTATGACAAATTTTAAAATGGCGGACACATGGTTCAGCTGATCCGGGCAAAACTGATATCCACAGATTTAGCACGACCCAAGAAATCCACAGACACCAATATCATGATTCTGACTAACTGTTCAAAAGTAATGAGCCAAAATAGCAATTTTTCATATGTCACGATCCATAGGTGGCGCTGTTCCCAACTTTGGCATGGACCCTCATACCATGCTGTTGACGAAGTGTATCAAGTTTCATTTTTTATTGATCAAAGTTTGGCCAAGATACAGCCCTCTGAACCAATTTCGGGTCGACCTCGGTTAAGTTCACAGCATCATAAGTTTTTTTTGACCGGTAGGTCAATTTTGTACTTTTCAAAATGGCCGCTACTGTAATGGGTGTAGACTTAATGTAAGATATTCAATGTGATCAGCATGAGGAGAGTAATCAGGTGTACTACGTTTAATTTTTCTAGAATTAGGGGTTCAAGAGTTATTACCATTTCAATGTTGAATTTTTGAACTGGTGGTGGCTCTATAGAGTTGGTCTTAGAGACCCCAAAGTTAGTCAGATCACTATTCATGGCCATCACTACAAGTGTGCCAAATTTAATCATTTTCCTATGTTCCATTCATAGGGCTGCCATAGACTCCCATTGGACGAGAAGAAGAAAAAGAAGAATCAGCCGCTTCGGGGCTAGGCCCCTAATAAAAATAGGGGATTTGGGCATGAACAAAAAAAATTTTTAATACAGACATATACCGAATTAAAATAAAATAAAATAAATAAATAAAACAAAAATGTTACCTATGTAATGTGTATCCCTAGCAGCATACAATCTTTTGCAATCTAATGCACTCCAAAACATATTTTCTTGAAAACTGCATGCTTAGTAAAAAGACCTATTTTTTGTAATTGTCTCATTTTGTGCAGAGAGGAAAAAAAAAGATTTTATTATGCTTATCTGAAAATCCTTTTAACGATTATGCTACGTTCTGAGACTTCATGTCTGTTTTCAATTATCCAGCGTCTTAACTGCCCACAAACAATGAGCAGCTGCATTTGTTTTTTTCGGTTTTCTGAAAACTGCATGTAGCATCAGGGAACCTTACAAACATTGCCATTATCCAGATCTCTTTTGTTCTCTTACACATGTATTTGAACTCAGAGAGGCACAGGCTAACATTATCAGGTTATATTACGCAACACTTCATGCACAGTTTGAACAGTCTGCATTGTGCTGTGCATTTCAGCGAAACCCTGCAAAGTTCTGCATTCCAAAACTCTATTCCAACACTACTGTGCAATTAAGATAAACTCACAAGCTGCTGTGTTATGCTACACTGCTAAAAACAACTACAGAAACCACACCCCTTTTTTTTACTTCCAGTGTACTACTCTTGTCAAGAACATACTGTATGCTTCTAGAGGACAGAATGAACAAGGTGCATGTTTGGTCTGGTACCAACCTCTTGAGGCACTGAAACCAGTTGAGTTCTTGCCCTTCTTTGTCCATGGCGAAGTATCAGATGAAAATGCAGAAGAAAAACAACATCTAACACGTTTTATGTTCCCTCCCTTTTCCTCTTTGCTCCCTCTCATGTCCCCTCCCCCATGTCAGTGAGGACCTCACTTCACCACCACATGTTTAAGAAAAAACATGCTAAGAGCCTGGTAAGGATGTTCATTGTTTTTGGTTTCTCTACAGACAAATAAATGCAATTCCTTGCAAAATGCCTGTTAAACTACAAGTTTCTGAAGGTTTATTACCTATAATCTGTGCAAATATTTTTTGCAAATAAATTGCAAATCTAGCCATGTTGAAAGCATGCTAGAGAAAAGAGTTTTCATTTGTTGATTGCAGTTTGCCAAAGTGCTAAACATACAGTAAGTAACAGGTGATTGTTCACTACAACCAAAGACAGATCTGTCTCAACAAATGTCACCACAAGAAAAGATCTGTGTAGACAAATGTCACCAAAAGAATGACCTTACCTTTTGGCCTGTAAACCTTCGCTTCCATTATGGGAAAAACAAAATGCGCGTGTCCTGCTCTGTATTATCAACCTCTGTCCATTGGTTCTGAGGGAGTCCACCCAAGTAGGTGACTTGTTGAAGAGGACAACAACGTTCCACTGATTACACACAAAGAGCCAGAGACCACATCAAAACATCTTGTCCCAACACACACCTAAATATATGTCTCTGGAAACAATCTGGGAGAATGTTTTTTTACGCTGAAACGCAATGAGAATGTCTCTGAAAGTCAGAGGAGCATTGCTTCCATTAATAGTACAGAAATGAGCGGCATGCCACTTTAACAGGTGACAAGCATGAGCAAGTCATGTGATCACTGAGAATGACCATATGGCTGTATTTCTGGTCCATAACTCTGTCCTGTTTGACATTGGACACTTTCATGTGGTGCACAGCGTCCTCTACCGGTATTAGCAGCAAATCTCAAGACTAGACAGCGAAGTTTTTATTAGTAGTTATTACATCAGCCATACTGAGGTACAGGAGGGAAAATCTGAACTAGTCTATTTGCATTAATTTCACATTGCATTCAAGAACTGATGTAGCTCATATTTGAGTTCATGTCAAATACATTATTTTTTTTTTTTAAGAAACGTAAAGATTTAAGGTTAACATGTACTGCAAGTGGTTGCCATTTATTTAAATTTTTGCACTTTTGCTTTCTTAGTTTATTTAAATAATTATGCATTGTGACAAATATTCCGTAAAATGATTCCATATAACTATCAATTAATATTATAATGTAAATACATTTAGACGGAAACACATTTCAATTCAGTTAATTTTGGTATGTTATTGTAACATAGCTCATGAAAACTAGGTATGATAAAATCAGGTTTAACTTTACAGTAATTTCAATATATTTCAAGAAACTATCCTTTCCTTTACAAAAAAAAAAATTCTCCCTTTTTCTTTCATGCACAGCTTTAAAACTTTAATGTCATGTCAACAGCACATTCACAGCTTAAAACCTCATGCACACACATAATCAACAATAAAACATCTCTAGGGATACTCACCTCAAACAGGCTGATGGGTTCGGGGGTGGTGCCACTTCTGATGACGTGGTGGGTAGTGTGTTAGGTGTCTCTGTGCTTTTGGGCTGAGGTTTGGCGGCCTGGCCCATAACCAAAGTCTCATCATCAGAGGAATTATCCTCAGAAGCTCCCAGAATAAACTTCATTCTCTCTTTAGCTTGAACACTGGAACCAAATTTGGGCCTATATGACTTATTGGTTTCCATGGGAAAAGTGTTGGAAACAGCTGCTTCTGTGCTTTTTGATTGGTCAGTGGGATCACTAGTAGTTGATGAAGTAGCTGATTTCGGGTCCATTGGAGGAAAGTTTTTCCCTGAACAGTCTGTCGTGGGTGTTTGTGATGGCATCTCTCTCACCCTGTGGACCTCAATGATGCATTCAATTGGGCTATACGAGTAAGAGGTTCCTTTTATTTTTGTCCCGAGTTTTGTAAGTGTTCAACTGTAAAGATAAAGAAAAAGCATGTCACAATTAAATTATCAAAAGTGTGCACAACACTAGATGGCATCAGTGTGCAATATTATGATGCAACCAAAAACGGTGCAAAATGTGCTCTTGTCTGATATTAAAAGCTGTAGAGTGAATCATTCATTCATAGGTTATACTGAATTTCTAAATAAGATATATAGCTGAAATAAAACAAAAAAATATTTCTGTGATTCAGCTTTGGGAAGTTTCAGAGAAACACGTGTTTCTCATAGCCATGCAAAATTTTAATTCATGTAGAGGAACTGAAGATATTTAACAATTCTATTAGCGTAAGGAAACAAAATTCAGAGCTAACTAAAAAGAAATTATTAAATCAATTATTAGATAAATTATTATAAGATGGAAAAAAAATATTTTCCTGAAAAATAACTGAAATAAAATAATTTTAGGTTGAGGTAATAAAATTACTAAAAGTAAAATAAAAATAAAGCTAAAAGGAAAAATTAAAAACAAAACCTAATAAGCATGTTAAAAATTACTAAGCAAAATTTAAATGAAAACTGAAAATATTAAAATTTAATGTGTTTTTTGAACATTAAAGCATGTCAACATATTCTGTTACACCAAATACACAAAATAATGCTCTTTAAAAAAGCATCATATGACCCCTTTAAGTTATCAAAAGTGTGCACAACACTAGATGGCATCAGTGTGCAATATTATGATGCAACCAAAACGGTGCAAAATGTGCTCTTGTCTGATATTAAAAGCTGTAGAGTGAATCATTCATAGGTTATACTGAATTTCTAAATAAGATATATAGCTGAAATAAAACAAAAAACTATTTCTGTGATTCAGCTTTGGGAAGTTTCAGAGAAACACGTGTTTCTCATAGCCATGCAAAATTTTAATTCATGTAGAGGAACTGAAGATATTTAACAATTCTATTAGCGTAAGGAAACAAAATTCAGAGCTAACTAAAAAGAAATTATTAAATCAATTATTAGATAAATTATTATAAGATGGAAAAAAAATATTTTCCTGAAAAATAACTGAAATAAAATAATTTTAGGTTGAGGTAATAAAATTACTAAAAGTAAAATAAAAATAAAGCTAAAAGGAAAAATTAAAAACAAAACCTAATAAGCATGTTAAAAATTACTAAGCAAAATTTAAATGAAAACTGAAAATATCTCTCACCCTGTGGACCTCGATGATGCATTCAATTGGGCTATACGAGTAAGAGGTTCCTTTTATTTTTGTCCCGAGTTTTGTAAGTGTTCAACTGTAAAGATAAAGAAAAAGCATGTCACAATTAAATTATCAGAGCAGACTGCGCTTGTCGGAAGGAGGGACTTTGTAGAAAACGAAGCGTTTGAGAGAGGCGGGGCATAGAGGACCTACAATAATGTACAGTATTTGAAAAATAATGTGTTTTTTGAACATTAAAGCATGTCAACATATTCTGTTACACCAAATACACAAAATAATGCTCTTTAAAAAAGCATCATATGACCCCTTTAAGTTATCAAAAGTGTGCACAACACTAGATGGCATCAGTGTGCAATATTATGATGCAACCAAAAACGGTGCAAAATGTGCTCTTGTCTGATATTAAAAGCTGTAGAGTGAATCATTCATTCATAGGTTATACTGAATTTCTAAATAAGATATATAGCTGAAATAAAACAAAAAAATATTTCTGTGATTCAGCTTTGGGAAGTTTCAGAGAAACACGTGTTTCTCATAGCCATGCAAAATTTTAATTCATGTAGAGGAACTGAAGATATTTAACAATTCTATTAGCGTAAGGAAACAAAATTCAGAGCTAACTAAAAAGAAATTATTAAATCAATTATTAGATAAATTATTATAAGATGTAAAAAAAATATTTTCCTGAAAAATAACTGAAATAAAATAATTTTAGGTTGAGGTAATAAAATTACTAAAAGTAAAATAAAAATAAAGCTAAAAGGAAAAATTTAAAACAAAACCTAATAAGCATGTTAAAAATTACTAAGCAAAATTTAAATGAAAACTGAAAATATTAAAATTTTAATAAAAGCTAATATTGATCAATACTATAATAGTATATAAATAACACTGATCCAGTGCACACAGCAACTGTTTCAAACGCTCTGAAATACTACATGCCTACACACACACAATCAGGAATGTAAACAGCAAGCATTAAAAAAAAACTTGGCCACATGCAAAGCCTACAGTTAATAATTAACATGTTCAGTAAGAACTTCTCATCGAAATAATAAACTAAATATTAGAAAAAGCATTTAAGTTTTAGAAAACCGATAGGATTCTCAAGAAAAGTTTAGCTCAAACCTTTGAGGGAAGCGTCGGTCAGTCAGTGTCCAGACCTTCTCTGGTAATGGAATGCGTACACATAGTACTCATATGCTCTTCTCTTTACAACTGGCCAGCAAACAGCCACAACAGAGCCATTTAACAGAGTGGACCCTCTGTGAGTGTATGTTTGGGATCTAGGGGAAAGTTCAGCCTTGATGGTAAGAAATGAGGGGGAGGGAGTGGCTCACAAACAACCTATGAATATAGTAAGAACAGCATCAAAGGTCAGAACCAGTCTATGGTCAGAACACGTGTGACGTCACACCAATCTGAAGTAGACACAACCAAAGTAACCTAAAAATACTCTTTGAATCTAAATTCTAAGGACATAGGAGATTTCTCTGCTAGTAAAACTGAATAAAAATACTCAAATACACTCGGTATTTCTGCAAAAAACGATTACAGTTTAATAGGTTTTCATCTAGCTAGATTACGACGACTGACATCGTGGTGCTGTCAAACGGTTCTCGTAACAAATTCACGGATTTTACAGTGACAAAGATTTTTTTATGAATAATAATTAATCTAGGTCATGCTGTCGTCGCTTTGCAGCCTTCCCACTGAGGCTTAGGTTTATCAATATTAATTAGGCCATGCTGCTTTTGCTTCGTATCTTCCCTCAACTTTCTTACTACGACAAAGGCTTGAGTTTATGAATATTAATTTAAAATGTTACCATGCCTACCAGGCGAACGTCACGCAAGCTATTTAATATTCACAAGTTTAAGCCTTGGCCATAGTAGGATTCATAATTTCGCGTCTCATGGCAGGTCAATATAAACAACAAAATGGGAGGATCTCAACCCGACAAAACTTGCATAATCTTAAAAATGTATATCACAAAAAACCTGCATAAATTAACTGCAAACTTCTCCGCGAGGCGATACCGTTATTTGTCAACACATCCTCCTTATTTTTTGTTGTTGTACTACTTAGCCTTGTCACTGCTGCTACTTACAGAGCAGCAACACATCTATACACAGACGAACTCACTGTTTGGTTTTCTCCTGCATATTTGTGTTTGTTTTATTTTGAATACCTTATGGTTCTCTGAAAGTTTGTTTTGCCGCTCATCCGTCCATGTTCCTGCGTGTGTCGTCATCGCATGACGTTCCTCATGCTGCACAGGACCGTCTTCCTGAAAATGTATTTCTTAATTTTACATGGGTCACTAAAACACAGGGTGAGTACCCATGTTTAAATAATTAATCTAAAATATATTTTTCCTGGTAAATGTAAAAAATATTAAAAATATAAAAATATTTCTCCTAGTAAATTTTATTGTTAACACAACCATAATCCTGGTCTATTTTAAGTTTTAACCAAGGTTCTGTGTAGCCTGAAGCCGCCTATCCATGTGTAATTGGAAAAAAAGCCAAATTTTATAATTTGCTTCAAAACAATTTATGAACTAACAGTGAACATATCAGTCAAATACCAGTGATGGGAAAACAAAGTAACTGGCATTACTTTTTTGAAAAAGTAACTTAATTCTTGTAAATTAAAAAAGTAATGCGTTACTTTACTAGTTACTTGAAAAAAGTAATCTGATTACGTAACTCGAGTTACTTGTAATGAGTTACCCCCAACACTGCGTGTAAAGTAAGTGGCACCTGGGTTTTGAAAAAGGCAAACAATCATTAAAACAATTGAGCAAACATGATAATCATCAAAAGATAACTCTCATTAAAACCGCACTTATCATAAACACATAAATTAGAAAAAAGGACAAGAGGCACTGCATCAGTGTTCACATGAGCACTTTGTTATTGATATCCATACATGATGGTAATGTTATAGGAGCACAACACAGTCACATGGGGAAAGGAGAGCCAGGTGAGCTACAGGTATCGTACAGTATATACAGGCCAGAAATATTGAGAGGATCGAAGACAGAGAGAGAGAGAACATTGCACAAACATACATCACCCTCCCAACTAAAACGTCTCTTTCACTGGAGTTTATCCTCTAATAATCTGATTCCAGTTTTACCAGTATTTTATTCCTGCTTCATACAGAAGGAAAAAGCAACTGGAATGGCACCAACCACTTGTGAGGAACCACTCTTGAATCCCACTAGCAGACGCATTGGTTCAAAAAGGCACTGGACAGCTATTTCTCTCGCAATCTCTCTCTCTCGCTGATATTTACCGGGTGGTTCTAGTCGAAAGCAAAGCGTATTTGGAAAACCAACAGACAAACCTTAAGTGACCAGGATTGATCTAAAGCAGCAGCACTACAGTACAATCTAGATTGCGCAGCTTTTTGTGAGAGCATTTTCTTCTACTCATAACATCCCATAACAGTATAATGTACATTTGAAGGGTTTTCGTTATTAACCGTTAGCGTTTAAAGCTGTTAATAACCAAGTCAATAATGTCAGTTTCCTTTTGAGAACATGAGAATGCAACATATTTACAATTACAAATACACAAAACAATAACTAATGCATTTTATAAATAGAAAATAATAATCATAAAACTGTTTTAACAAAAACATACTTTGACAATCATCTACTGATGTCTCAATAAAGCAATTTGAAAAAATCAAATCAAAATATGATTATATATATTACTTTAAGGAAAAGCATATCAAGTGTCATACCATCATTTTTTTAAATAAAATTGCTGATCATACTCAAAGTCCTGAAATAACAATTTAATGCTATAATACACACTCCCTTCCATAAGGCCTCACCTTGAATTAAATTTAGCACATCAAAGGGCCATGTAGTATTTCACCATCCTCGTCTAAATGTCTTTTTTTATTTGTCCTCTACTGCAAAAACAGAGGAAAGTGTTTGTGGATGATATTTAAGAGATCTAAGTTCATGTTGTTAACTGGAGGAAATCATCTCATGAACTGAATATATTGAAAGGGGAAGGGATTTGCCACCAAACCCCCAGATAATCTCTTTTTTGCTCGCCATCTATTCAACTACTTACATAAAACTCTATAAATCCATTCCATTCTATCTATACATCCGTCTGTTCATCTACAGCAGTGGTCGCCAACCCGTCGATCGCGATCGACTGGTAGATCTTTATCACTGTCCCAGTAGATCCCGAAAATATCAGTAAAATAAGTACAAAAATGCATTACATTTCTGGGGTTATATTAATGTATTACTGAAGGGAACTGTCTTGAGAAAAGTTTCGATGGTAATGGCATTTTCTTCTCATCCGCGGCTCTGCTTTGTTTACAGCAGTAACCAAGGAAACGCTATTGCGGTCGGTTCATAAGCAGTGTTGCAAGGCCGAGGTCAGGGATCTTGGGCCTAAAAAAGTTGGTGACCACTGATCTACAGACTGATCGATCTTAATAAATATGTGACCCTGGACCACGTCTTAAGTCGCTGGGGTATATTTGTAGCAATAGCCAAAAATACATTGTATGGGTCAAAATTATCGATTTTTCTTTTATGCCAAAAATCATTAGGATATTAAGTAAAGATCATGTTCCATGAAGATATTTTGTAAATTTCCTACCGTAAATATATCAAAACTTCAGTTTTGATTAGTAATATGCATTGCTAAGTACTTCATTTGGACAACTTTAAAGGCGATTTTCTCAATATTGAGATTTTTTTGCACCCTCAGATTCCAGATTTTCAAATAGTTGTATCTCAGCCAAATATTGCCATCCTAACAAACCATACATCAATGGAAAGCTTATTTAGTCAGCTTTCGGGTGATGTATAAATCTCAATTTCGAAAAATTGACACTTAATTGGTTTTGTGGTCCAGGGTCACATATCGGACAAACAGACTCCTTAAACCAAATCAAAACAACCAAAAATCTAAAGTAGACAAACATTAGACACATCTTCCCTTTCTATATCTCTTGCAGATTGTGCAAAAGTTAATATAGGAAGGAACAGAACAATTAAGGTTAAAGATTGAGCAACTCGTTAAGTATCAGAAAAGCAAAACATTTGTGATGCACTCAGTCACATGCAGGCAATCTTGCTGTAAACTCTCCCTTATTAGTGAAAAAAGCTTGAAATGAACGAACAGAGATTGTGGGGATAGCATCAGCGGATCGATTTACCTGTCAAAGCAGCACAGGTTGGAGAAAAAAAAAATGCATCTGGACAGGTTGATTTCCCTTGGCCTGTTAGGCGGGGAAAATATTTTGTCTTTTTCAACATGTTAATGAGCTTTAATTTCCGTAGACTTCAAAACCGAGGCATCCCTTTTCAGTGATGTACTATTCAGCTTCATACGGTTATTTGCACGGAAAGAGATGTTCACGAATGACATCCGGTTTACACACGGCCTCTGAAGGGCACGTGCACACACTCTCGGTCACAACACATGAATTGGTTAACATCTAGATTACATAAAATCGTACAGTATTTAGCAGACAAGGCATATGTGCCAGTAGTGTCATCTAACAACTTCATTTGGTTTTTTTCGTTCTTTTTTAAAAGGCTATTGACATTTATGATTACAAGCTAAGTTGCAAAACCTGATGGCTCATTGCAAACAATTGCACTACTCAGTAACTAGATCTACACTTTCTAATCACTGGCTGGCTCAATGCTGTTCACTGAAACAAAGAGGGTGCTTTCACAACAGCAAAGTGTGATGTTTGTGTGTGTGTGCACTGGTGTATTGGTGTTTACATACACATGCAAGCACATAATGAATCCGTCAGACTCCCTTGTGCAGCTGATTTTATATTCAGAAAAGCAGTGACCCTCCTCTTTGTCCCCGACCGCATCTCACACCCTGAGTTTCAGCGCTCCTGACTGTCCTCGATCAGGGTGACGTATATGATGGGAACAAGTCCCTGGCTGTCACCCAGAGCACACAGCAGCCAATCAGAGTCTGCCCTGCTGAGCACCTGCAGCACGTCACCTTTGTGGAAACTGAGCTGCCCTGGCTCTGTGGCGATATGATGGCATAACGCCTTCACTTTACTGAAAGAAACATAAAAAGAAAGAAGGAATTGATCAGGTGAATTAATCAGGCATGGCTACACTGTCTTTTCATTTACAAATAATTACATTAAATATGCTTACATTATATACAGTATATATATTATAATTACAGTAAATAAGCCAATTACAGTACTTTGTGAAGCAGCACTTACTATTCAAACATCATTAAACATTCTATTTTTTTCCACCAAATTCTGAGCTAAAAAAAACATTCAAACTGTGATCATTTCAATCTTGTTTTTCACATGTTGTACAGTGTATTTTTTGGCTTTTGTTTGTATTATACAAGAAATTTAAGATTTTAAATTTTGCATACTGAATTGTGCTTGGCCTTTATATTTAATCTTTATTTATCATGATCTATTTAATCAACTATAACCACCTTTACATTACAAAGAGAGCACAGAATACAGAATAAGTGCTGATGTTGCAGACGACACATACAATCTGTGTATAGATGACTAAAAAATGACAATGTTGGGGAACCAAATTTTATTTTGACAGCCTAAACCAAAGCCTAAAACCTAAGCTTACTTAAACTCTTCTGTCGTTGCCTTGCAAGCACCGGTTTTCTTCTGGAAATGCAAAACTAGTCATTATGACTTGTCTAACAACATTACCGTGGGGCTTGTCTCCGTGTCGGTGGATTCTGTGTTTGTGCTTGTTCAGTTGGGCCAAGGTGGGATTCTTGGCTTTGAGACGTAAGAGATTGTTGCTCCGCTCTTTTCCTCACTCCAACAGACTGAGCCACCAGATCCAGCACAGAACGGTCGAGACTCAACCAACCAGACGGCAATCTGACACAAACATGTAGGTAGAAAATTAGCTGTAAGTTTATACTAAAAATTCCTCTGTAAAAGATGCTGCTAGTGTCTGGAATAGAACCAACGCATTCCGAAAACAAAGCAATATAAGTTTGAAAAAAAAAATTAATTATGGACCAACTTCATATATAGCAATATCTGTGATTAGAGATCAACCGATATATCGATTTCCCGATATTTTTCCCGATATTTAAGCATTTTACCATAATCGGATATCGGTTTTGTAATTTACTTTATAACAGTAAATAAATATCGGTTCTGCATATCGGTTATCGGGCACATAAACAGGCAAATAATTGGTATCGGTATCGGTTATAAAATGTCAATATCGGTTGATCA